CAGTCATCGCAAGGAATAGAATAAATGGCGTCGGTTCGTTGTTCTTTCGTGACAGGATCCTTAGGTTTGGTAAAAATATGCCCCAAAGTCTGAAAAGGTTTTTGAGCAACTTTAACGTTGTGGTGTGACGATAGTTTTTTCGCTCGCTAACTGGAAACTGAATCTTCGCGGACGGCACAATAACAACTGGGGGAAATAACTCTGTAGAGACGACTTGGCAGCGAGAACGAAAACTCGTCACGATTTCCTGGTACACGGAGATCTACCTCGAGCGAGCTTATACGGACGTCAAGGATAAGACAATCTTTGGTTCCACAGTACTTTTATTCTAGGTCAGGCCAACAAGCGACATGACCTCTAGCATACTCTAGTTTGTAATCATCAAAGCTGTACAAGGTACTTTCTTAAGAAGTAACTGGTGTGAAGTGCTATTGCTACACAAATCGCAATATTTGAATAAGGACACAAAGGAGCGGAAAAGATCTCTTTGAAGTTAAACGAAAACTGCTTAAATATTCCATCTGTTTCTACGACGGAAAGAATCTCAAAATTAAAAAGACGGATGCAACAAACTCTAGGCCATTAACGTAGGAAACTTAAGTGCGATTTTACCGCTCTGGTATGGAAAACAATACCTATCTTAATTGCAGAAGCGCAGCTTAGGAAATAAAAAACGGAAAAGCAATTAAAAGTTTCTGCTTATTTATGCAAGGTTGGTTTGGAAACCATCGCATGAAAAGAAATAAAATTTACGCGTTTAAACTCAGCTGCTATCTACCATGAAAACCAATGTTTCCAGAAAGACCATCAACACTTATATTTACTTAAAAAAACCATGTAATAAATAACAAAAGTGCCGACAAGCAGGTGCATGTGATGAAAGCGAGTAACAACAAAAATCTATTCTAAAAGCTACTGTGGTTTTTATGCATTTTTTTGATTTATTAAAATGAAAGGACTTGAAATGGTTAAATGTGAAAGTTTACGAATAAATATGTTCCGAATAACACACACGGGAAAATCAATGAATTTTCCCGTAACAGTGGCTATTCAAAATTCTCTTGATGGGTTCCATAACACCTTGAATGTAAGGAATAACAGCAAAACCAGTCTCTGGTTCCCTTTCATCAAGAGTGCTACTGGTTGTAACTGGTTTTTGGCAGTTACAGAGAAAAGTTTTTGTATAGCCATTCGCCTTTAAGACATTAGAAACATATTTCCTCTCCTCAGCCTTAGACTCGAGTCAGTCAGCCCTCGTGGATGAAGTTTTGGCTACAGACTTCTTAAGGCTAATAGGATGGTGAGAATCGAAAGCGAGGTACTTGTAGTTCTGGGTAGGTTTACGATAGACACTTGTCTTTAAATTCCCCTGAACCCCTCTGGACACATTTAAATCAAGAGAGGGCAAATGTCCATCCTTTTCACGCTCAAGGGTGAATTGGATAGACGGCTCTACTGAATTCAAACGCGATGGGAGGCTCTCTGCTTTATTTCCGGATACCGCAGAAATAACATCATCAACATATCGTTTCCAGAAAGAGGGTTTAACCGGTGAAATGGCTAAGGCCCTTTGTTCCACGTCTTCCATTATCATGTTGGCCATGACAGCAGAGACGGGCGAACACATAGCTGTACCAAAAACCTGTTGATGGTGGTGCCGTTAAGGCAGCTAATAAGTGATCATATAAAAGGAGCTCTTATTGCAGCGTTTAGATCACCCCTGATGAAGGCACTAGATAGGAGTGTCAAAACGTTGGGTCTATGAATTGTAACTTCTTTGGTTACATTCATTAAATCTGTATACCAGAGTAGCATCTAGAGTAGCAAGTACGTCTTGTGTTTCTCCCTACACTTCTTTCTTGCTTTAGCCACTTCCTACGTGCTTTGTATAGGTAATAACATGATTACGAGTGCAATTTGGTGTTGACCGAGTAAATTTTTAAAAGCAACAAAGTTGCACGAGCCCGTAGGGTGAGTGCAATTCATAGTCTGAAATATTTACTGGTGCCTATTTGCACCAAATTGCACCAGAAATCATCTTGCTACTTGTTAATAATTTACATGAAAAACTCATCACAGAAAGTCAAGAGGGACGAAATTTTTGCAGCCCTCGCGCTATTTGCAATATGTCCTTGTGTTAGAACTTTGCACTCATGTTACAATTTTGCACTCGTGTTGCATGAAAAATACACTCGTTTTCAGCCAATCAGACACGCGTAATTTTTTCACGCACAACAACAACAGGATAGAGCAAAGTAAAGGCTTCTCTATTTGTAAAAGCAAAGTAAAGGCTTCTCTATTTGTAAAAGCAAAGTAAAGGCTTCTCTATTTGTTAAATAGTGATCTTCACTCGTAGCACCAGGTATGTAAACTATAACTGCGGCCAAAGCGATCATGTTACATAGCTGTGACGTAGAAAACTGTGAAGACACGTCGGCATTTATGGTGGAGAAAAGAGAAATCTATAAGATAGGACGAACGTAATGTGTGGTCGGAGCGCCAAATGAGCCATCAATCCCCTCCTGCCTTCAAGAAACTAAAAGAAGCAACAGTAGCAATGTCATTGTGATAACAGCACTGCAACGAGATAAATAAAGAAACACAAGTTTCATTGAATTAGATGATAGCGAATCCAAGTGTGAAAGTCGATGCGTACGTACGAAATATTAATTTATAATATTGATGTCAGTTATTTCTTATGAACAGAATGGGTCATAAGGCAATGGTGCACTTAAACTAAAGAAGTTTTTCTCTACCAAAATCCCTATTTTAGATTAATTTGAATCAGATGACTATAAACTCAGTCGTTTTCCGTTTGGTTTGACCGACTCGAAGATCGCGACGATAGCCTATGCCTTTGCAATCTTTGAGGAAAGGAGCAACTTGCAGTGAAACTGCCGATGAAGGGGAACCTCCGCCGCACGTAGTTCAAAGGAATAAAATTTTATAACAACACAAACGAACACAGCTACCCATTCTTAACATTGATTTCGCCATAGAAAACAAAATACAAACTAACCAAACCAAACATTCACTAACGGGAATTTTTTGTTCTAATTTTGACCTAAACACCGCAGGCGAGAAACCGTCTTTGTCAGTCTTTTTCGAGACCTTCGTTTGATGCACGCGGTTCTCCTTCCTAGGGTTGAACCGTACTCGCAACTTCTGTCCCTTCTCTACGCTGACTGATGCAAAATTACAAGAGTTGTGAGAGTTTATAAGTGTCAACTAAGAGTTATGACAGTTTTTATGTCATCATCCTGTAATTCGTTACTAGTCCACGAGACACTTTTTAACACAAAATAAGAGCACTTTGAGGCCCGAAAAAACCGAGTTTTAAGTTTTTTTGAAATTTTCTTCTATCGGAATTGGTTTGTACATATGATAAGATAAATATTTACGCCAAAAAGAGACAATTTCGTATCATAGGCACTTAAAAGAAAATTTTTTTGATAAGGAACATAGTTTGAATCATTTTATAGTTTAACAGGTCCATTTTTATGGTTTCTTGTCCCTGTCATTTAATCCTGTAATCTACATTTATTTTATATTTCATCAGAGGCTTTTATTATTTCGTATGTAGATTTATAATGTTTCAGAATATGTATTGTATGAGAGCCACAAGTTTGATAGCCTTTTGGCGATGAAGTGCTATCCTCTTTAATTAAAGAGTTAACATAACCACTTGCTTACTTACTAACTTACCTAGTTGCTTCCTTATTTACTTACGCTTCCTTATTTACTTACGCTTCCTTATTTACTTACGCTTCCTTATTTACTTACTCATTCACTCACTCTATCACTTACTCACTTACTCACTCACTCACTCACTCACTCACCCACTCACCCACCCACCCATTCACCCGCGCTCAAAATGGATTGTTTTTTAAGTACTCATTAGAGTGTGAGAACTCCGTGATGGAACTGTCTTATATGTAAGTATACTAAACGAAAAGAAAGGAAAGTCGATATAAATGGTTAAGCTAACAATCCTATTGGACTTTTATTTTCAGAGACGGCCTAAACCATAGATTTTCGTTTTATTCAGCAACAAATGCGAATCAGCAACTGAACCAGCAAGTGCCTCCAGCAGGTTATTTCTTCGCAACTCAACAACTTCAACAAGCTCAACTTCCTGCAGCGAATGTTCCAAAAAACCCATGTACGGGTCAGGAATTGTCCAAAGGACAAGAACTGGTAAAACATGTACAGAAACAGAAACAGGAGAGGAGACAAAAGAGTTTCTTCACGCCTGGGCTCCTCGTTTTGAAAGACTAGAAGGAGCTTCCGACAAAGTACGCGCAGCAATTTGGAATGAGATTTGCGAGGAATTCAAGGGCAGCTAAGATGAAAATGAGCGTACTTTCCCTCAAGTGAAGAAAAGACAGCTAAATTTGGAATACGAATTCAAGAAAAAGACAAAACTGGCGAAGAGGGCCTGAATAAATTTTCTTATTACAGTATTTTGACTAAACTGGAATACGATGGAAATTTCTTCAAGCACCGGCCCCTACTTAAGCAAAGGAAAGAGAGGAAAGCGCCACAAGTCAAAACAAGCGCTTGTGTGAAACAAAAGAAACTGGATGACTGAATTCAAAGAAATGTGGGAGAAACGTCTTCATCAAGAAAATGAACGGTTTGAATAGTCAATGAAAATGTTCCATGAGAATCTTAAGATTCAAATGAAACAAACAGCGTCTCTGTTGTCCGGATTTAAAGATTTAATGAAGGATTTGATGAAGGAATAGAGCTAGCAAATGTGTGTTAATTTACTGTTCAATTTTTTTCCCGAGAATTTGGCATTTGAACTTTACTGCCTTTTCTTAATTACATAAGTTGTAAAACACACGGTCCACTTGGCCATGATAAAGAAACCCAACAAAATGAACGAATTTAACAGCAAACAAATCAGCCACTTTTTGTTTTCGTCTCTCTTCGAACAAATACAAGCAGTTTCTTTGTACGGAATAACTTACTGGTATCTTGAATAATCTAAACAATTAAAAGTTATCCCACACAAAGTTCTTTAGTGTTTCCCTTACTTCAGCGCCGCCCTCGCGTAATGGTCCTTCATAATCGTTGTCAGAATCACTGTCATCTGAATCGCTATCGCTGCAATCGTACAAGTCGCCGTTATCGCCACAGATGTTATGTAAAACACATGCAGCAAGAACAGTTTTACTGAGTGTTCTGGTTTGCTGCTCAACTTTTTTTAATAGTAACCGCCAGCGTCCCTTGCACGCGCCAAATGCTCTTTCAACAACAGACTTTGCAGCACTAAGCTTTTTGTTAAATTCACGTTCATTGGTGTTAGATGCCTTCTATTAGGATAAAGTTTGACAAGCCATTTCAACAGTGGATACGCGCTGTTTCCTATAATGAGAGGGGGAATTTCTGTCGCACTGACAACTTTCTTTGGTGATGTTAAAACTAGTTCTTTTTCTCCAAGATAAAAAAGGCCACTTAATCTTAACACCCTGGCATCGTGCATGCTTCCAGGATACCCAAGCTAACATGAATGAATTTTAAACTGCAATTAATTATGGCTTGTAAATTGAAACTATAATGCTGCTTTCTGTTGAAATAGTCCTCGTGGTTATCGTTTATTTCGGTGTGACAACCGTCTATAGCGCCAACAATTTGCGAAATCTCAGATCATATGACATCAGAATTGACGGGGAAGTACGCCGTCGAAATCGAAAAGACATCTGGCTCACTAATGAGCAGCCGTTGAAGGATGTTGCTGCTGATTCTACCCCACTTCCATTGGCTCAACCCGCGGTGCCACCAGGTCCAGTAAACACACCCTCAGCACTGCCCTCCGTAGCTGAATCCCCCTCAACTCCATACTTGTCTCCATATCCCCCTGTAGCTGAATCTGCCCCAACACCAGACTCGTTAGTTGGGCGGGGGGTCAGGAGGTCAACAAGACAGAGAAAACCCCCTGAACATTTTAAAGACTTTGTTATGTCACAATCAGTTTGCCCTTAGGATTGATAACTTTGATTTCGTGTAAGAAAGAGGAAATGTGAAGAAATACTGTTAGAAGTTTGCCAGGATAAATTACCTGGCTATAAAGAGTAGTCTGAGTTAAAAAGCGTACTTATCACTTCAACATAAACCGAGCAGTTACATGTTCAAAAGACCGAAGGAATAACTGACTAAATCCCGAATGCGCATCTCGTTATGTAATTATTAGTGGCACGCTCACTGTGATAAGTTCAATTGTATGTACCTATGTGCGCAGCTTCGATATAGTCAGGTAATTTATGCCGGATACTTCTAACAGCATTTCGTCACAGTGTTCCTCTTCAAACCCATCCATCAGTTCCTCTAACTCTTGTCTTGTCTTTGGAAACTTAATAAACTGGTCTTTTAGTCGTAGAAGAGAACGTTCGAATTCGGTACAGACAGTTTTAGCGGTGGACACACCCGTTGTAAAGGCCTCACGATTTTGCTTGCGAGCGACCGTGTTTGTGATATGCATGACTGATTTTACCGCGAAAGATGATTGACAGCTTGACTGTTCCAAGTAACAGTGGAGCTCGCAGAGCGTAGCCTCATAATTATACAAAATAGTAGTAACCCATCAAGCCGAAAAAATTTGGATGTTCGACCGTTCGACCGTACGACCGACCGTACAAGGTGCTACTTTTAGCATGCGTGGCCAACTGTACCACGGGCACTATATTATAATCAGTCCTCTACACGGACACGGAGAAGTTGCGAATGAAAATCCATTAATATTACCACGCACTTTATCCATAGTAGGGGCTTTAGTTTTGTTGAAGAGACGTGCGGGAGAAAAAAAATGCGAGCTCCGCTTTTAGGTTTGCCTAAATCTATATATTATACTTTGTCATTAGATGTGAAGCCAAGTTTTCTAAAGTACGACTTGAGATTTTCAAGTGCACTTGAATCAGGTGCCTACTAAAAAAGTACGTAACTTCTAGTGTGAAGCCAAGTACTTTTGAAAAATTGTTATGATGTATTTAGTTGGTTCAGTATGATTTAAACATTTGTTTACATCTAGAATGTAGTAGCTAGTAAATGAATTGCGTGAACTTATCGGAAGCGTTAAGCACGTCGTTATTCATTTGTGATATTAGTGTACAAGTGTTTGGATTAGTGTGCTAAAAACAAAAGATTAATCTACGAAGGTCAGTTGACCAGCATACCTTCCGATGGCAAATATATAAGCATGCTTGAGAGCTCGAGGAGATTTATCAGAGTAAGAGTCAGATAACCAGAGTTACACAGAGTAAAAAGAACTTGATGTAAGTAGAATTGTGTATAAGAGAACCGACAGATAAAAGAAACAGTAAAAGACAAGCCTAGAGTCCTTGAATAGGCACGTACCGTAAAGTGTTGTGCGGTCTGCTGCTAGTTTTCCCTATCATTGCGACTCAATATATTTGGTTGAGGCCGTCGAAAATAAATGTTCGACTCAATCTTCTAGTCTCATCTTGTAAATAAAAATTTATTCTATCCGGTAATAGTGATTTTTGTAATTTTAAATCGCTCATCTCAGTTTAAGAGTGATCATATCGCGATTCGGATCTTATAAAAATCGTGTAAGAAACATTGTGTGCATGTGCGACTTTATTTGGAGGAATCCATACATATCAGCAATCGTCATTTGCTAGAATAATAGTGAAGGTGATGGTTGATGGAAATGTCTTTGACAGGATCTTACACTTTAAAAAAGGACATGGGAAACATTTCTGAGCATATTAATGTAAAATTAGTTTCAGCAAGCCGACGTTCCTCGTCATTATTTGATATTCTGCACGGCAGTCAGTCTTCAAATGTTTTCCTAAGTGTCGAGTTTTTTCTATCTGTTTTTTTTTCCCATTTGGTCGATATTTGTGACCTCTAGTCAGAAAATAACATAACGAATTTCTGGTTTTCCCAAGTTCGGATTTTCCGCGAAGTACGTTGAGAGAAAATTTCGCCTTTCCTCTTTATTTATGTTAAGCATTTCATGTAATATATCAAACATAAGGAAGATATCTAAACAGCGCGAAATTGTTGAAAAAACGAGGCGCAGCCGAGTTTTTTTTTAACCAACTTCGAGGTGTTTGGATATCGGATGAAACATCCTTTCGAATGTTTGATGTAGCTTCTCAAACCATTAATAATTCTTGGAGAAAACAAAGCAAAAGTTCACCAAATTTTATGATAATTAAGATCACATATCCAAACCTCCTTCACGGTTGTAATTTCCTTTGTTTTCTCAGCATGAATTATTAATGAGTTTGAGAATATGTCTTCACGGCTGCTTTTGCTCGTATCAAGGAAACGGTCGTCGTGCTGTCAAGCTACCCCTGTCTAGCTAGCTAGGGAATCAAATTCAACTAAGTTCCACAACAATTGTTATGAAACTAGAAATCCGTCAAGATATTTAATCGTTACAAAACTACTTTCTTCTCATTAGGCTTTCTTGTATTTGTAGTCAATATCTAAGAAACTAAGAAAAGATTCGCAATGCAAAGAATTACGAGGAATAAGTTGTCAGAATTATGAGATGAGAGATTTAATAAGATAATACCGTTTGAAGGTAATTACACAACAACAAGACAAATCGAAAAGTTGGAGAGCAAAAGGCGTACTAAAGGTTCCGATTCTTTTTCAATAAATAAACGAATTTGGTTGATCAAATATTCAGTGCAGTAGATGAAAGTAGAGGTTTTTACAGGCACAGCCACCTGGAGAGAGATTGTTGATCACACTTTTTAAATTTCTCGAAAGAAATGTGTTTATTGCTCCGTTTAATTTATTTTCATTGACACTGACTAAAGACACCCGTTTTTGCCCTTTAAAGGAAATTAAAACAATTTTGGCCTTAAAAGGGCAAACACAAATCGAAGGTCTGTTCGTACACATCTACTGCAACAGGATTGGCCTGGAATTGTTATTAATGTGTGCTCGAAATAAACCATCATGGCAGTTCTATGGGGCATCTTTTTTTAAACTCTAAATAAAATTTAACGGTTTAGAAGACTTAGAAATGTTTTCGTGTTATATTTTTTTCTTACAGATCTTTGAAACAGACAGTAAACAATGTTGACATGTGTGCACTTGTGCCATTCACAGCTTTCAAAACCCTCTTTAAAGCTGCTTTCTGCCCCCCCAAAAATAGGTTTTGATAATTCTAAAAGATATCGTCTCACCATCTTAACATTTCTCCCGTATCAATGCTATCAAGGAAAGATTTATTACCATCTCTAGAGTTGCCTTTAGTCTCCAAAAAGACAATATATAGTCCATCGACTTTAGTTTCATACATTTCCATGCAAAAAATCCTGAGCTCTACAAACTTGGTGACCACAATGCGTTTGCAATATTCACATGTCAGCTGTTCAACTCCATATAAGGACACTCACGAACTGTTACGTGCTTACAGACCTCTTTGTTTTCCGCTATTGAAAGTTAAGCACTCCTGGGATTTAATTGTTGCTAAACTCGATTAAGTGGAAAATTCGGAAAGAGAGACGCGTAGTCATGCGCAGTGCACTTGTGACGAAAGGGCGCTAAATTTAGGGGGCACGTAATCTAGCAGATTCAGTCGATGGTCGCTCACAAAACAATGGCCAGGATATATTGCTGAGCTCAGCCAGGAGATATCGCTGAGCTCAGCTGAAGACTGACCTGTCAGTCGTCACTCCATCAGAATAAAAGAACCTCAGTTGAGAGGTGTTCAGACTACAACACACACATCAGCACAACAATTGTGAGAGACTCGAAGGTATCAGAGAAAGCCACCTGACAATCTTCGGCACCTGTAGGCCGCTTTTTACTTACGAAGACTACATTGTTTTGCTTTGCGGGGTAAAAGAAATTGTCATGGATGGAATAGAAGGTGCTTACCGTCCGAGGAGTGAATCAAATGAAGTGAAAAATTTGAATGATTTTGAAGTTAAGATTGCTCCTGATGCAATGAATGGTTCGCACTTCACAAACGGTAAAGCAAATATGGCCGTCGAAGTCGACGAAGGAGCTGAAAACAAGGGTGAAAGGTAAGAATGAATACCAAGCCAACCAAGCAATTTGTGCTGAGTCATAAGAAATGGGTGTTTTCCGTGAATGGAAACCAATTTGAACGGTAATCGAGGTTATTTACTTATAAGTAAACGGTTACGTAAGATGGCTACTTAGTTTGCAAACCGCTCTTTTTGAGAGGCGTAGCTCCTGTTTACTCATTTCCTTATAAGTTACTGGAACATGATTGGTTAGCATGTGAGATAACGTGTTTTTTGAGGCGGCTATTTTATGCGAAACCTTTGAATCCTTTTTTGTCGTTCACAAGCGCAATTTTTTGTAATTACTAGGAATGAAGCCCTGAAGATGTGCTCCATCGCTTAATCTACTTTGTGTGCAAATTGCTTACTGATTGTGAAGTGATCGCGGAGGAATTAGCTTCATTGGGTTGAGAACAGTCAGTTTGAAAGTGTTAGCGTACTTAGGCGGTGTTACTTGACTTCTGCACTGTAAATAAGGGTGCAGCTATCGACAACTGCCTTGAGCTGTAGGCAATTACATCAACGTGTTATTTTTGTGTTTGTTAATGTGCATGTACATCTTGTAACTTAAAACATGCATCTCATTATTGACATTTTAGGGGTCGTGAAGTGATATGGATTTGAAGAAGATTTTCGCAATTGATGGTCGCAAGGGGGAGTACTGATCTCGTTTCACACACAAATTGTAGAAAAATTCAGGCTTCATGTATACTTTAAACAGCATTTCACACATCACATGTTTAAAAAGGAAAACTTCAAATCTCTCTTTTTGTGTGTGAGGTTTCAGGTTTAAACAAACTGAAAAACGATTCACAAGTCATATGTATTTCTAGAGCCAAATCATACCTCGCATTTTTTCATTAATTTGTAAATCATTCTCGCCTTTCTTTAGAATATTTAAATCAGATTAATTTTGGTCACTTATTAACCCTTCGGTACCCACATGCAAAAAATTGCAATAGTAGCAAATTAGTGACAATCAAGGAAAAATTGTTGACATATTGACCTTTTCAACCCCAAGTTACTTCAATTTTATCTCTTTTGCCTTTGTTAAATAAACCTATTCACCCCCCTTACGATTCCATGAACCTTTAGCTATTCATATAGGCATCAGTTAATGGTGGTGGGGGTGGACCCTGTGATGATTTAGAGTGTGGTTGAAATGGGAGTGTTATTCTACACATTAATAGAACTCTTTAAAGATAATGTGCAAAGCAAGCCCTTTGCATGAATTAATGTAAATCATGACTCATTTGTAAGGATCTGTGTAGTGAAGAACTTGTACTCGCTTACTTTTTTAGTGCTGATAAAGATAAAAAGGGAAAGAAAGAGAAGGAAGAAAAACCACCAGCTGTACCATTACTCAAACTTGTAAGTTGGTGTTAATGATGCAACTAGATAATGTTTTGGTATAATCATACTATCTGTTTGTCATTGTCTTTCTTGTTGACAATTTAGCTTAAAATTAACCTGTACTTTCCCAATAAGGATAGGCTCCAATGGTTAATTTTCGTACAGAGCACTTCTTGTCAACAAAATGTGTCGAAATAAATTCAAACAGTCACTAATCAATCACAACTTATACTGTGGCTTGCCTTGAGAAACTGGATTATGTGTTCTTTAGGAACATAAAGATGCAAAAAGAGAACTTGGCCAATATCTAGCCATCTTAACCTCATGCCCTCAGCTAGTATACAATACTAGATAGAATGACATCATTGGAAAAGCTGATAAAAGTTTAAAAATAAATGAAAGTTGATGGTTGATTTTTCTTATTTACCATTGAAAATGAAAACCAGTAATTAATAATTATTTGGACTGAATGTCATCATTTTGGTGCCAGAGGCACAAATTACTATGCACGATATAGTGTCAAAGGATTGAACATGTATTTTGAAGTGAAATGTAGCATGCAAAAAAGTGTAAGATATTACTTTTGCTCTGATAGAGTTAGATTGTGTCTTCAGTTTGGCTCTTTTATATTTGATAAAAAGAACCTTGTAGATTAAAGCTAATTCAGTTTTCTCCAGGTTGTTACAGTACATTGTTGATCATGTAATGTACACACTATTAGGTGTGAAACACATACTTATTAAGCAAAAAGGCATGCTATAAGTAGTTTAGCTCTGCCCCTTGGTTTCAGCTCAAATGTACTAATGATCCAATATGGCATTACCATTGTTGAAGAGAGGCCTTAAACATGTCTATATCTTTCCTTTTTATTTTGATGGTCATTTACATTCAGTATTTGGAAACAGACTTGAGATTATGCCATGGTATTATTACATAATGGTAAAGCGAGTCAATTCAAATTTCAAATTGACTGCCACAAATAAAGATGGTTTCCACCAGAGGAAGGAGATAGAAACCTCAACACATTCTTCCATTGTGATGAAAATGTAGAAACTTATTAGTAAGAGCTTTTGAAAAAATTGGCTGCTGTTCACTCACTTTGGCTCAGCTGTAGCTCAGGCTGTTTGAATCTGTAGGTTTTTCTACAAGTGAAAAAAAATAATGGTTGATTGACAAATGATCCAGAGGTACCTAAGGCACCTCTCCTTTTATAGTGGGCTTTCATGTTCTAAGAAACTCAAAGACACTCATTGTGATTATGTGGTGCACATGTCTTGCTACTCAGTGACAGGGTTATAGGCCCTATTAGAAGGGGGTCTGAGTATCCTTTATCCTATTAATTTTTTTGGCCTAAATATTGGGTATCCTGTCAAGTCCTTTGGTTTCAATCATCCACTTTGACATCACTAAGTCTCTGTTTTAATATCCTGAATCCCATTAATTTTTCCTCAAGTATTACAAATTTCCTATATCTGATAAGCCCAAATTTTCATATTGTTTTTCAGTTTCGATTTAGTGATAAAGTAGATGTTCTGCTCATGGTATTGGGAACCATATCATCAATTGGCCATGGTGCAGCTGTTCCACTACAGTTCATTATCTTTGGTGACCTTATCAACAGCTTCATTAATTTTGACAAATTAAAATCAGATACCAACACAAAGCCATTTGATCTTGAAGGAGAGATGACACAATTTGCCTTGTACTATGTCTATTTAGCTATTGGAAACATGGTTGTTGCGTATGGTCAGATGGCATTTTGGTCTCTTACTGCTACTCGACAAGTGAAAAAAATGCGTTTAGCTTTCTTTCAATCTGTGCTTAAGCAAGACATAGGTTGGTTTGACACAACTGATCCAGGAGAACTCAACAGTAGGCTCACTGAGTAAGTCCCATATTTTGATTTAAAATGTCTGACTAACAATAGGATTACAATAATTTTCCTACAGGCTCATGCAATTTTGTTGTCTTTGAACAATTTACTTGACTTACCTATACTCATTGTACTCATTATTATTATTGTGAGTAGTGTGCATGTACTCAGATATCATGAATGTCACTTGCTATAACATATGCTTTAAGTATGGAGAGGTGTAGGCATATGATCTTTGTTGCACATATTTTGCAACCAACATGAATTTAAAATTGAACAAACACATTAGGAATTATTACAAATTTAAAAAGATTACCATTTATGATGGAAAATTGCAAAATTATTACATATCAAGTCTTGAATGTAGAAGGAAATTACCATCAGAAGACAACAAATTTAAGATAGTTCTCACTATTAATTTCTCAGAGACCTTGACAAAGTAAATGATGGCATCGGTCAGAAAATTGGTATGTTCCTTCAAGCCATCACAATAGTTCTTGTTGGCTTCATTATGGGATTTGTTTATGGTTGGAAATTAACCCTTGTAATAATTGCTGTCAGCCCTCTTCTGGTTATTGCAGGTGGACTTATGGCAAAGGTAAATGTAAATGTTTATAAACCAATTTTTTGTACTGCAAACAACCATTCCTTTCTGACAAAGGGCAATAGTTTAGAAATATGACAGATTTCTTTGTCCCACAGTCGCTGTTTGTAGGTTTTACCTGATCTTACACATAGTGCAACAGCTTACCGGTTATGTTGAACTACATGAACAGTAGAAACTAATACATTCAGCCAAAATTTTGAACTCAAAGTCAAAAGATTATGCATAATGACATAGCTCCCTATATAACATACAGCAATTGAAATTAGCTTTTTGCTAGCTTTCATGCATGTAATTAGTCTCCTCTACCAACCAAAACACAATTTTAAGCAAGTTCAATAACACTGATGGTATACCTACGTTACTTAAAGTAGACATCAAATTTCTGTGAAGTGAAGTGTTCCAGAATTTTCTTGTAACATTTTTAAAATTAGTGTTTTGTTTTTTCATGATGAGTGTGAATTTGTTAAATTCCAACACATGACTTCCCTTAAAACATTAGTCAGAAAACACTTAATTACTTTTGAACTGTGGCAGATGTTGTCTTCGATTACAACCAAGGAGCTTGACGCTTATGCTAAAGCTGGTAGCATAGCAGAAGAGGTACTTTCATCAATCAGAACTGTAGCCGCCTTTGGAGGGGAGAGGAAAGAAATTGAAAGGTATGAACACACCTTGTTGAACACTATATATAGACAAAGAAGAAAGAAGCTGAAATAATTATTTGTTAATTGGTTGGTTGATAAATAAATTGATTGATGCAGTAATTTGTTGATTGCTTCATGCACTGATTGCTTGATTCCTTGGTTCCTTGACTTCTTTATTTCTAGACTGATTGATATCTAGAACAAGGCTTGCATAGCTACCTGGGAGATTTTAGGTCATGTTCTTCAGAAACCTCCCATATAGCTTATTATTCCACTAGTAGGTCATTATTAGTGCTTTCAATAACACCTGGTACCAGCGGGAGCTCCAGCAGGTATTCTATTGTGAATCACCTGCCATACTTTGGAAGCTTTCAAGCAAACTCACGAAGTGAGTCCATACACATACGCATTTCCACAATTCAGTTTAGATCAGTAGCACAGTTCTGATGTTCAAAAGCGTAACATTGCTGTAAAATTGAAAAATTTATTTAAGAACCAATTCTTGTTAGAATTAAGTCAGAAAGTGAAGGAAATTGGTTCCTATCTTGAAATTATGTCATTTCGGTCGATTCAGACGCATTTCAAGCAAATTTTATATTACCCAGGATGCAATGCGGCCACGCCCTTTTTTTTTTTTTTAATTTTTTTTTTTTTTAATGCATAAATACCGTGTTTCAAGGAAAAGATTTTTTTTCTCGCCACATCTGAATCCTAGAAACTCTAGACTCCTTAATCTTTGCATTTAATTTCACGGCCTTGTGCTTGCGAACAAAACAGCACTTGACTGCATGCTTGAAACATGCGGTATGTACTTAGGAAGTTTCCCACTCATTTCCTCACCTGATGTAATATTTTACTTCTTAATAAGGAAATCTAAAACAGTCCTTATTGATTAAGTAGACTTTGGGATGATTTGGAAGTAAAGGAAGCCGTCAAAATGACAAGAGCGTCGCGCTTTTTTTTGCTATAAATTCGATCGCGTATCTTCCTGAGGATCAAAATTGTAGACCTAATGTTTCGGATGAACTTAAATGCTAATATTTTCGTCGGCTTTTAACGGATTCGATCGAGTTTGGTACCAAAATTTAGCTTGTCATTTGAGCATTTTGTTTATGTCAACGTTGAATGCTCCAGTGCACTTGTCGCAAATAATACGATTAGGAAATTCATTGACTGGTACTATCGCGCGGCAGATCACAGCGCTCGCCAACTGTTTCGGACGCAGAAAAAAATTCATATCTCGACAACGTTTCAACAAAAACACAAAAAAACGAAAAGAAATTGAAAATAAACTTATGAGCATTGAATTTTGAGATTAAATTGTTCTGTAACTCAGGAATTATGACTCGCAAAATGAATTTAAAATTATCTGTCTCTCCTAAGCTTTAAAGCGTGATGCATCAAGTGGTGAACACTTTCGTCGATTTTAAGAAAGATTTAGCTCAAATTTTCAGGATTTTGGCTGCCACTTTGCTTAAAAAGGAACTATTTTCATTATCTGTTAAGTCTTACGGTTATATACGAGGCTTCAGTGGGCAAAAACAGGAAAACAGTGAATAGTGAAGCCGACGCATGTTACGCGTGACGCCATGTTTTTGTCGCTAACTTTACAATTCGGCTCCAATTCAATATTTTCAGAGATCCTTTATTCTACCTCTGTTTAGTCCAAAACTATCTTTAACACATGTGTAACAATTGTGGGAAGTCTCAAGATCTGATCATTGTGCGCCGAGAAATTCTTAAAAGATTCGAGCAAATCCGTGATTTTTCAATTTGTACGTGACAAGTGTGCTACTGATCTTATTTACCTACTTTTGGCATCAAAAGTTGGCCATTTCTCCCTTCTACTTACCATTACCGTCTAAATTCTCATCACATTCATTCCAAGTGTCCTATTTAAGGGATTCAATCTATTATTTAAGATTGCCAAGAACCCATACTAAAGAAACACAATTTACATCTGATCCTCAGCAAAAAATATAGAAAACAAGAATTCACTCATAACCAATTAGTGCTAAGTAATTTTGATCTTAAGTAATATTTGGATCCAATTTGGAATTGCATAAACACCGTTTATCAAACAAGTGTGTCAATCTCTGTTTAATCAGTGTGACTCATAAGTTACCAAGCAAATTTTCAAAAAGAGGTTCTCCCTGAGTATTGTATATTGTGGCATTTAAAGTGCAAGTTGACAGATCTGCTGTCGAACGTGGAGAAAAAGTGTACTGTAGACGAAAGTTAAGCCTGAAACATTCAAACAATCCTGGACATCCAGCTAATTAACTTTTAAAAAATACTTTGTGTTTGTCTTGTCACAATATGCAATGATGGCTCACTGAGATTTGAGGGTAAAACATTTTACTGTTAGATAAATAGTGGGCTGAAATTAAGACTGTGTGATGAGGTTTGTGCACTATTTGACAGCAATAAACTGTAATTGTTTACATTTCAGTATTCATGGACTTTCACTCCTAGTTAATCCTAGATTTAAATATCTGACGGCCAAAAAAAATACAAAAATTGATGAACTTATGTAAATTATCCTTGTAGGTGTACTTGTATTATCAAAAAAATGTTGCAATTGTGCCAAGTGGGTGTTAGAACATAGTAGTCAACCAATGTCCAACCACAGAGAAGGATTTAAAGTTAATATCCCTTTTTTCTGCTTTAGATATTCATCGCATTTGGGAGAAGCCCGAGACTTTGGCACTAAGAAAGGTCTCATGTCTGGTTTTGGCATGGGCTTTTTTCAAGTCATCATGTTTGGCAGTTATGCCTTGGCTTTTTGGTATGTAAGAAAAAGAGGAAGTTATAAGGGAACTGAATGAATTTTGCACCTGAGTGAAATTTAACACTTCTTAAATTAATTTCCATTAGTTAAAATAAACAAAGGAAAAACAGAAAATTTTACTTGTACGCCATCAGACACACTCCTCAGAAGCCACGGTGTCACTTCACCCACTGTCTATATTTTAGCATGCCTTGCATTCACAATGATGTATTGTTACTTCTTACAAATGATTGCTATCTTCCCAATTAGATGTGATGTATGATTGTTCTGTAGGTATGGTGCAAAGTTAATCATTGATGGAGAAATGAATGGAGGCGACCTGCTCATTGTATGAAGCATTTTGTTTGATACAAGAATTTTGTTTGATAACAACATTTAAGAGTTTAAAAGTATATTTGGATGAAACCTTCTATTTATTTCTTCTCTCATGTGAAATACCATTATTTTTATTCCCTTTAACTGCATTGATAGTTAGTGGAGTTTTTAACATGTATGCTGAAATGTGTGTATACTATGATCAGTAGCACGCTTGTCACGTACAAATTGAAAAATCACGGATTTTTTTGTTTTTTGGTGTTTTTGTTGAAACGTTGTCGAGATATGAATTTTTTTCTGCGTCCGAAACAGTTGGCGAGCGCTGCGATAGTACCAGTCAATGAATTTCCTAATCGTATTGTTTGTGACAAGTGCACTGGAGCATGTCAACTTTGACATTAACAAAATGCTCAAATGACAAGCTAAATAATTGGTTCCCAACTTGATCGAATCCGTTAGAAGCCAACAAAAATATTAGCATTTAAGTTCATCCGAAACATTAGGTCTACAATTTTGATCCTCAGGATCATATGCGATCGAATTTATAGCAAAAACAAGCGCAATGCGTTTGTCATTTTGACGGCTTCCATTACTTCCAAATCATCCCAAAGTCTACTTAATCAATAAGGACTGTTTTAGATTTCCTTATTAAGAAGTAAAATATTACATCAGGTGAGGAAATGAGCGGGAAACTTCCTAAGTACATACCGCATGTTTCAAGCATGGGGTCAAGTGCTGTTTGTTCACAAGCACAAGGCCGTGAAATTAAATGCAAAGATTAAGGATTCTAGAGTTACTAGGATTCAGATGTGGCGAGAAAAATACCACATTCCTTGAAACACGGTATTAATGCATTTCATGGGTAATAGAAAAATTTTCTTGAAATGCGTCCGAATCGACCGAAATGACATAATTTCCAGATAGGAACCAATTTCCTTCACTTTCTGACTTAATTCAAATAAGAATTGATTCTTAAATCAATTTTTCAATTTTACCCCAATGTTACGCTTTTGTACATCAGAACTGTGCTACTGATCTATATACAAATCTGTTTGAGGTTACTGTCAACCAAATAGGGTGGGTTCCAAAGAAATCATTCTACGCTACTACTTAAAGAAAAGCAGAAGGAAAAGTGAGCAAATCAAGCTTGGAAAAAGAAAACCTAACTGTGATTTCTTTGGCTTGGGCTCTCTCATTCTCCAAAATGTGCTAGAAATTCCTTTTTGTCATGCAGTGCAAGATCCTAGACAAAAGCCTGTGGCAAATATCAACACTCTGCTGGAGGTCTTTCCAATTGTGACACTTTTTGTTCTTTGGAACAGGTTCCCCAGAAACATTCTTTCAGCCATATCTCACAATATTCTTCAGATGTGACAATTTTTTTGGCAAATGATACTTACCTGCTTTCTCTAACTAAAGAGCAAGAAAACTAATTTCAAAAATTTTGACAAGATTTTGTTGACAGTAGCCTTAAATTGCAGTCATGGAGAATGTTTGTTGTGGAGACACCTTGAAAAATGTGTTTATGATCTGACCTTGGAGCCCAGTAGCCTTTTTTTTAAACATTTGAATCACAGTATATCTTAAATTTCCAGTATTACAATTTTGTTTGGAATGATTTCTTCCCTAACCCATTAAAGTAATTCAATAGGGATGTGTATGGTTTCTGTTATTAAGTTCATGCATGTAGGAAGGCATTACTTTCATTTTTTTTTGTTTTTTGTTGTTGTTGTTGGTCTAGGTGTTCTTTTCAGTTATGTTTGGAGCTATGCAGCTTGGTCAAGCTGGTCCAAACTTTGAGTCCATAGCAACAGCACAAGGAGCAGCATATAAAGTTTTTCTTGTTATTGACAGGGTAAATAGCCATTAACAGTATGGCATCATTGTCATTGCAAAAGATAAAGCTGTGCAAATGCAAACTCAGCAACTTTTATTTTCAATTAGGCATTCATATTAAGTTTCAGGTTTTTTCCAACTGTTTTTGGCTTCACTTTCAGAGACTTTCAGAAAACCTCAGCCCTTTCAATATGATATTTTTTTCCTCAGAAAAATCAATTGTCTCAATTTTTTATGTCATGACAAATTAAAGTTACCTGAGTTGTGGAATGGGCTAAAATTTCCTCCTTTAAAATTCTGCCAAATCCTTAGATGTGTAGCACATCAGCAATAAGATAGGGTTAAAATAATGTCCATTAGTGAGCTGGTAAAATATCTCATTAGGATTTTTACAGTGCTTGAATGAAAATACATTTTGACAGATCTTTTGCTGACAAACTTCAAATCTGTGACTTGTAATTGTCTGATACATCATACTTTTCCATTTAATTGTGCTGAGTGTGGTACTGATGATTCGCAACATTTCTACCAAATAAAGTTGCAGGATATCCTTTATTTTTATAATAACTATTTTTACTCTACAACTGTGTTCACAGGAAAAACAAAAATTTTCTGGTGATGATTGATTCTCATGGCAGTAAGTTTTATTAATTTTTAACTTTGCTTTTGCTTAATGTAATGAAGATTCCTCCAATTGACTCAAGTTCTGCTGATGGTGAAGTGCTAGATCACAGTTCTTTCAAGGGAAACATACTTTTTAAGAACATTGAATTTTCCTATCCATCCAGACCAGATATAAAGGTTAGTTATATGTATTTGGACAATTCTCCTGGTGGTATTATAGGATGGTCAACCCATTTTTTTTTTTTTTAACTGAATTCAAAGGCCTGTAGGAAGAATTCCATTTGGAGGTGCTTAGTTTTGTTTTGTTTTTGCTTGTTGTTGTTGTTGTTTTTTTAATATTCACTGCCATTTTTTCTTAGCAAGAATAATTTCAAATGTACACAACATGGGAAATTTATTGTCCTCTAATTTGTCTTTATAAAAGAAGGACTTTCAGCAAGTGTATGAAATAAAATTTTGCTTGTATTTAGAAAGAGTATAAAGTTAAGTGTGCTACATTTAAGTACAACTGGCTTAAAGGTATCTTAGGTAAAGACATTTAGTACATGTTTGAAAATTTACAAAACCTCTGTTTGACCCACTTTGTATAAGGGCATTTCTCCAATCTATCCTAAGTTCTCTTGTGTAAGTGATTTTTGAAGGTTCAGGTATTTCTTTTGTCATGGTTTTGGTCAGTTTCCAACAGGGTAATTCTTTCCTTTGCTTTCACTACCACATTGCCTCTGTAAGAGAATTGCAACAATCTGCCTATCTTTGAAATTTTGCAGTATTTTGCGCATTCATCTCCTTCATCTCTCACTTTAGTCACTCTCCAATGTTCCAATGCTCCATATCTTTCCTAACATTTTTGTTTTTGTATATTTTTCCTCTCTTTTCCTCCCTTAAAGCCTTATGGCTTTTGCTTCTTGTTACTACTTTGGTAAATTTTGATACGATTATGGTCTACTAACAATTCTAGAATTGTAAGATTGATATACTGGTAATACTGTGGAGAAGGTAACTTGATATTGAATTGTCAGCACGTCATGTAATCTGTTTTTCAGACTTTAAATGGCTTAGACCTGACTGTTGAAAGTGGACAGACTGTGGCATTGGTGGGTGAGAGTGGCTGTGGAAAGAGTACAGTAGTGAAGCTTTTACAGAGGTTCTATGACCCAAGTGGTGGTGAGGTGAGATCTTATGATTCTCTGACACTTTTAGCCCACAGACCCTGATTGGTTTGGCTCCATCATCATTATCATTATTCCTTTTATTGGTGCTAATATTTTAGCAGACAGTAGTAATTTCTTGTAGTAAAGGGTTGAACTTAGGGGTAACATTTGATCATGTAGCCTGAGTATGATGATGTTTCAATTACTGTAGTGGGTGTCATTGTCATTGTCAGTGTCTCACCTATGAGGGTAACTTCTGTAAAGTTTGTCAAAAAATCAGTCACTATCATAGGCAATTCCTACCCTGGTAATCAGACTACTTGATCAAAGAGTAATCTCAGATTAAAACTTGATGGCTAATTTTGTTTTTCTATAAATTAAAGAGTAAAATGTACTTTATCCTCTTAGGAAAGGGAAATAATCAATCTAGTGACAAAAGATACAAAATGTTACTAGGCATGTGTACTGCTCTTAAAAACAAAAGAGAGCTAAGTTTTCCCCAAACCAAAATATTTCAACTGAAGAGAAGTGCAGTTCCAATGCTTGCTGGGTAATAATGTACTTTTTTATTATCATGAAGGTAACTGTTGATGGCTATGACATTCGCAATTTGAACCTAAAGTGGTTACGTGAGCAAATTGGTGTTGTGAGTCAAGAGCCAATTCTTTTTGCCACCACAATAGCTGAGAACATCAGGTATGGTAAAGATGGCGTGACACAGAAGGATATTGAAAGAGCAACAAAGATGGCAAATGCCCATGACTTCATTCAAAGACTCCCACAAGTAAGTAGAAATTGTTTCACAAAAGGCATTAGCACTCTGCAAGTTTGTCCACTGTAACTTCCTTCCCAGTCAATTAAGAGTAGTGGATGCATGAGATATCCTAGGGTTTTCAACATTTCTATATCCAACCCCAGATAGATTATTGCCCCTCTATATCCAAATTTGCCCCCAGGCAACTATCAACACTGACTAGATCATTTGAAAACAAATGCTGCCCCTATTGAAATCATCTTCTACATACACTGCAAATAAACTCAAGAATAAATTTCCCAGGTGCCCAAAACCAGGCAACTAATGGGATCCCGCCAATTGCATCAACACTGACTAGATCAGTGTGGGAGGTGGGAAAAGGAAGGTTTGGATGGGGAGGAGAAGGGGAACACTTGAAAACAAATGCTGCAAAACTGCAAAAACCTATTGAAATCATCTTCTACATACACTGCAAATCCTTGAGAACTCAAGAATCTATCAAGATGAAGTTGCAACATTCCCAGTGAACCTGTACAGACAATGAGCACTGAAGAGTAGAGCTTGCTGATCTTCTGGTGGTAAATTTTGTTACAATTTCTACTTAATGAAATTTATGATTGCTTTTCTCTACTTCTTTGTTTTGCAGGGCTATGATACTCTTGTTGGTGAACGTGGAACTCAACTCAGTGGAGGACAGAAGCAACGTATTGCCATTGCACGAGCTCTGGTAAAAGATCCAAGGATTTTGTTGTTAGATGAAGCAACATCAGCACTGGACAGTGAAAGTGAATCAATTGTACAAGCTGCTTTGGATCAAGTGAGTCATTGATGCCTTTATATCATGAATGTATTGCTTTTCCCACGCTTGTCAAGAAATCCTCTTGACATATTCAGAAATAGAAAAGGGTGACTAAATATTAAATTGAATCAACTTATATAATTAAGCGTTTTCTCATAGCTATAGTGTCACCATATTTTATTCTCAATGCTATGATTTTCCTTATTTTCTAGGCTCGTCAGGGTCGAACAACCATTGTGATTGCTCATCGTTTGTCAACAGTTCAGAATGCAGATGTTATAGCTGCCATACAGGGTGGTGTGGTGGTTGAGAAAGGAAGCCATGATGAACTCATGCAGACTGATGGAGTTTATCACCAACTTGTCACATTACAGGTACATATTTTAGATCTACTTCCTGATCTTTCTTGTTTAGCAGTGTTTAAAGTTAATGTGTAACTGCCACTTTGCTCATATTATACGGACCTGACTGTTTGTAATCTTATCATTGGGCTGTAATTGAGGAAATTATAACACAAGCAGAGATGGAAATCACCAAAGAGAAAATGAAATTGACTGTCCATGTTTTGAAGGTTTCCACCCTGTCGTTTCATTATGTACAGTAATAAAACTCACACACAGCAAAAACTTGTATAGTTTATACTAACAGTTTCGTGTTCACAAACTAAACAGAACAAAACAGAAATTATGAAAAATGTTACATAACAGACATAACTGTTAAAATTTTTTACAAATAATGGAGTCAGAGCAACTACAATCATGCTGTGGTCCATCCCAGCTAGCTCATCATGGGGATCTCAAGTCATTAAAGAGAAGCAAGCTTCAGAAATTACATTTACATCATCAAGAACAACTGAGAGCTTGCTCTGATATACTTTCCAATGTGTTGAGTGGAAGGCCACATCAGTCCCTGAGCAATGTTCATGTTCCTGTGAATTCAGCTGTGATTCATTCATAACCACAGGGGTTGAGCACTTTGTTTTCTAATCTTCGTGTTGAAAAACTTGCCTGGTTTTCATGAGCCACAATTCAGCAGGACTTCACAAAACACTTTACTCTCAGATTCTGTATGTAGACTGAGAAACTACAAGCAAAAGGGTTGAATTTGACTTGTGGAACTATTTCAGTTTGGAAATATGATTCTGAACTTTGATCATTTGATATTTCTGACAGCTTTAGTCATTTTTATCAATCAGATTTTTTGCACCATTTTAACAATGATCTGATTGGATTAATGTGGCACAGTTTATGACAGTTTAGAATATGCTGACTACACTATAGAGTGAATAGAAAAGCCTTGACTGTGTTCCATTCTTTTGTGAAGCACTTATGAAGCAGCCAGAGCACTCAAGAAGTAGGGGCGGGGAGACACTCAACTATGTCACATACATTCTCTACATATCTCATCTCTTCTATACACAAGGGTCTCCACCCAGGCTAACTCGAGGGCATCTGAGTAGCTATCAGCACATGGGAAAATTATCTTAAGTGCCCTTTTCTGTATGGATTCAATTTTGGAAGACAGATAACCTGGAATGAATTGCCACACTGGCATGGCATACTCTAGAACAGACCTAACAGAGCTTGTATAGACCTTTAACATGCCACCTTGATCAATGCCAGCTCAACATAGCATACATAGGGAGTAGAGCTTTTTGCAAGCTTTTTATATATGTAGTCAACATGACTATTCCACTTTAGGTCGTTATCGATAAATACTCCTAGAATCTTGTAAGTAGCGACACGTTTTATACTGTTGTTACAAACAACTTATGGTCTGAGAGTAAAGTTAGGATATAACATAAAGTTTATTAACATCTCTTCACATTTAATAGGGTTTAAGATTCACCTTTTTTCTACCTCTGTTCAAAAGCTTCAGTCTTGGGCAATTACCTTATTGATAAAATATACATATTCACAATTTTGTTCTAAAAACCTGGTTCACTTTTAAGTGAAGATCATGGTAGCACCAGAACCGATGCATTAGAAATAGTGCAATCCTGTTGCTAAAATGTAAGGCCATGTGCAGGAACTGTTTTATGTATCTGTAAGGTTGATGAGAAACATTAGAAGGCAATGAATTCTTTGGTGGGTCTCATTGGAAGAACTGAGCTGTAATTATTGTTGTTTTAGCATTGTTTATTATTATTTCATAGACTTTTGAGGAGGACAAAGAGGACAAAGAAATTGGTGATAATGATAATGAAACAGAGGACATTGAGGATAAAGGTAGGAAGGAAAGCTGACATCAAACAAAAAGACATAAAATGTTGGAAAGATATCATTGAAACAAACATGTAATACAATAATACAGTATTTATCCAGTAAAACCAAATAACAACTAGTACGGTAAAGATATTGACAACTGTTTTTGCAATATTTTAGCAATGATATGAGTGCATGTTGCTTCATTCACCTTTTTATGAACATTTTCTGATTCTTAGAACAGACAGCAGCAGTGAACTTTATGCGCAGCATGTCCCATATGTCGAGTGACAGTGAGCACGAAGACACTGAGCTTGAGAGGAAGCTCTCAAGAAGAGCATCACAAAGATTGTCTGCCAAGAGGAGGGGCAGTTCTGCATTTGATCGGCCAGCCTCTGCGAAGTCTGTGGTATGTGCATGTATTCGGTGTTGACTTGCAGACTCATAGGCTGACTTTATGTTGCATGGAAAAAAGGATGCAAAGTTATCACAAGATTAAATTACAAGAATCAGTCATTGACCATAGGCCTTACAATAAATTAGTTTCCTCTACAGAGAAAATTTCAAGTTATCTTCTTAAAAAAATAAGGCAAGTTAAAACTAAGTCAATGGACAATGTAGCAATTTCACCATATTGATATTGGGGGCAGCAAGGGAAGTTTGCAGGCTGGGGTATTGTATGGAGCTTTTTTCTCAATTTGCTCAGCTACTTTGCTGGCTATGTTTCCCCAACCTCACCCCCTCAACTCTTTGGGTAAATATTTATGTCAGAAACTTGGTCAGAAACTTGGTCAGAAACTTGGTCAGAAACTTGGTGGTGTGTTGTTGGTTGCTTGGAGGTTGGCTGTGACTTGGTGCCTTCTTTGCTTTGACAAAGTGTTTTGTTGAAATAAAAGGAAATAACATGAAATACATGTGTAGTCAGTTATCAGCATTTCTGACAATTTAATAAATGCATATTCTGCAAAATATCTCTCTATCTACAAGTTCCCACCAAAAAGAATCAGTATTGCAAAAACTATAAAATTAGAAAAAGAAAATATTATTTATCAAAAGGAGGCAGAAGTTTAGGGTTGGTTTTTTTTAGAAGAAATGTGCTGTAACCTAGCAGAGAATAACAGTTCAAAATACATTTATTTCTGGGTAATGAATAACAAATTAACAAAATAAGTCCCCAGCTGAGCAGAAACTTTGCTCATAGCAAACTACTATTTAAATTTTTGTCTTTAAAATTGGAAAAATGGCCAATCATATTTTTAAACTTATGAAATTTTAATGGTACCTGATAGTTAATTATTCGGTTATCATATGAATGAGTGTTTGAATTCAGTTGTTGCTGAGATATTGAAATGGATAAATTGACAGTGATCATTCATTTCTGAAGCACTATTACAGTGAATAGCAGCAGAGAAAACATTATAATTCATAGTCCTTACTCATTAATGTTGCAAGTAATCATTTGATTGCAATTTTGCTTGTTTCTTTTTTTTCTTATAATTAATGTTTGTTGCATCCAGGTAATTGCAGTAGTATTAGTCATTAATTGTTGTCACAAATATTAGGGTAAGAATGACAAAGATGATAAAGAGAAAATTTTGGAGGAGGAAGTGGAGCCAGCTCCTGTGATGCGTATTATAAAGTTAAACAAAGCAGAATGGCCATATTTGGTATTAGGAAGTGTAGCCGGGGCCATAAATGGATTGTTCCCATTTGCCTTTGCATTGGTTCTGTCTGAAATTCTTGAGGTAAACCATATAATGGCTGCAAGCCTTAGCAAAGAATAACACTAGTTTTGATGACAGTGGCAACCATTGCTAAACCACGCATACTTACTGAAAAACCACTTTGAAAATTTTAAGACATAGTTGTGTTCCTGTCTCAAATTTTTCAAAGTGCTTATTCAGATCCACATCAATTGAAATAGACCATTTAACGATGCTAAAGATGTTGATAATGACCAAACGTTGTTTCTTTGCACTTTTAACAAATGAGGCAGTGTCAAACTCTCACATACAAAGTAATGAAAGGCTCTTCCCTGCCATAAGGAAAATTCATTTGCATTACCTGTAATTTTTTTTCATTTAGTTGTGCCACTGTTTTTTTTTTAAATTCTTATTTTTATTTTATTTTATCATTATTTTTTTTAGAAGGGTGTGCTCATACATGTAATTTTCAAACTACTTTTATTTCTCCTTTTTAGGTTTTCACTTTACACGATAAAGGTGAAATGAAGAAGCAGTCGGAATTCTGGTCACTCATGTTTCTTGCCATTGGTGTGGCAAGTTTTGTCGCAAATGTTATACAGGTTAAATATGACTGGATTTTATCATAGAAATGTATTTAATTCTGCATTATTTGCTCATGCTTCTTAGAATGCAATTCTCCCAGTTTCATAGCAAATGTTGTTTTGTACAACACAGAGTCAATATTTGTAACAGTCCTACATCTGTGCAATTTAAGTGGCAATAATTATTCAAATTTCAGTTATCCAATTTTTAGTTGACTTTACATACAAATCAGAGCAATACACTGCTAATACTGCAAATGTAACACTACTCTGTGCTTATACTTCCCAGTGTGGTGCATTACAAGAATATTAGTCACTTCTAGGCGATAAAAGTGTCATTCTTTTTACTTTGTTAGAGTTTTATGTTTGCCAAGTCAGGCGAACTGTTAACTTTACGCCTGAGAAAAATGGCATTTGAGGCCATCCTAAGACAGGTCAGTAATTTACTGGTAAAGTAATAACGTGTGAGGTGGTAAATGTGACTAAGCAAATACAGTACTCACTCCTTCCTCTGATAGTTTTAGTACTGCGCTAGTCTGGCCTAGTGGCTCGGCATTTTTATTGCAAAAGAACGGTATAACTGTTACAGTAGTCTCGTTCATTTCTGTGGAACGAATATTGTCAAAGACAAATTTTTAGCAGTTCAGGAGACTTTTCTGTGTTTTCTAAATTTCTGTTAAAATAATCAATCCAGCTCAGGAATGGAGATAGAGATAGAGATACTTTATTAACCACCATTGCAGCCATAGGCTGAATTACGGGATATTTACAAATACTGATGATAACAAAAGAGAGAATAAGAAAATTTTTCTACATCTTATAGACATGGCTTAAAATAAAACTGTTCTTCAAACGCTCGGTTTTACATAGGGGGAGAGTGAAATCGCTTTTGCGTCTCAGTGCATATTTACAACTCTTCCTTTGGGGGAGGAGGCTATAGAGATGGTGGGTGGGGTTACAGACGATCTCGTCAAACAAATCGATTGAAATCTTTTCTCTCCTCTCATGAAGTTTCGGTAGGCCAACTGTTTCTAGTGCTACACTATATCAAAGGTCAGGATAGATGATTCTGAATGCCCTTCTTTGGATCCGTTCCAAATCTTCACTGATGTAGTTTGGTAGAGAACGATGGAATACAGGACTTGCGTATTCCAGGACGGGCCTAATACATGTCACATAGAGTTGCACCAGTTCACTTGGTGCCACTCCAGATCTCTTGAGTTGACGTAAAAAGTAGAGACGAGAGGAACATTTTCTAATTAGTTCAGAGGTGTGCATGTTCCACTTTAAATCATGGCTAATGGTCACGCCTAGAAATTTGGCACTGGTGACTAATTCAAGGGGTTTGCCATTTAGAACTAGGGGTTCGAAATCGTGGTTGCTGTTGGAAAAACCAATTCGAAGTTCTTTGCACTTGGCCTCATTCAGTTGGAACCCATCGAGACTCGCTTGTCTCGAAAGGTCATCCACAGCTTCTTGGAGTTTGCTCTTATTACCCTTTGTAACTATTTCGGAACAAGATGTATCATCCACGTATTTCCACATGTCAACTGGTGTGTTCAAGCCATTAATCATGACAAGAAATAACCAGGGGTCCAGTTTTGTTCCCTGGGGGACACTGGATGGCACAGAGCGCCATTCAGAGTGACAATCCTGAGCAAGTTTAACTCTTTGTTTCCGGTCCATCAAGAAGTTAACAATCCAACCTTTGACTTGACTCGGAATATCATATGTTGTTAGTTTTTGAACAAGAACAAGAATGGATGGATAGTTTATCAATTTTTGGATGTTGTTTCGACAGTATATATGCTGTCTCACTGTCACTGTATGCTGTCTCACTGAAGTTCACTGCTTCGTTTACTTATCAGTCTTGTAATTGTTCAACAGGATATGTCGTACTTTGATGATCCGCAGCACAGTACTGGGGCATTGACCACAGCATTGGGAACACACGCCTCGGCTGTTCAAGGGGTAGATATCGCTCTATTCTAATGTGTTTTTTTATTATATTAGATAACTAGTGTTCAATGGCGCAACCGCTTTAGGGGAAGGGATGATAGTCTTCTCAATTAGGTCAAGAGAGAATCAGGTTCATGTGGAGACGTACTCTATAACAGTTACAAGTTAAACCTAGAGCACAGTTACTGAATTTCTTACCTTCTGATTGGCTTACCGAAGCCATGTTACGAGCTTTTAATCTAGCTCTGTGGACATAACCTAACTCCAACAAATATGGTCCATGAATTCGTTGGTGAATTGCGAACTTATTTCTGTGTTTGGGCTGTGAAGCAATGGGGGGAAAAACTATAATCTCGTGGTTCTGAAGCTTTGCAAAGAAATGTGAGAACTTTGCCAATTGCTAGTGTTGCAAAATTAGGTAATTCAGCTCGTGAACTGAGGTACTGAGCGTTCGGCCGCTTTAAATGTGTTATACAATATGATTTCAGGCCGCAGGTTCTAGACTCGGCACTATTGCAATGTCTTTGAGCACAGCTATTGCCTGCCTTGTGTATGCTTTTATTAATGGATGGAAGCTGACACTCGTTGTTCTGGCGTTCATCCCGATACTGGTGGTTGCCAGTGCAATTCAGATGAGAGTGTTTGCCGGAGGTAAAGTTTCTAGTGATGGTGAAGACGATTTTGCTCAATCTGGCAAGGTGAGATCCTCATCACCTTTTAAGGAACGTATAGGCGTGTTTACTAGGTAGTCTTCATGGAAACATCAAGGACAGTCTTCATGTGGGTTTCCTTCTCAATTTTTAACTGCATGTGAAATTTGCCATGCGGTATAAATATGTATGTAAAAAGCATTTGAAAAGCATACAAAAAGGTTTGAAATATTTCATCCCTTACAGAAAGTGTTTTTACACCCTATTCAGTTAGCTCTTAAAGAGTTCAAGTGAAAAACTTTGGACTCATGCATGCACTTTTGGGCTACGACAACGATTCGTGACTGAATAAGATTATAACCAGTTTTAAAGCTCTTACAGTAGTAGTGAAAAATATCTTTTAAAAAACATGGTCTCTGAATGACATTGTTTTAACCCTGGCTGCACTTTATTTGGTCTTCATAGATCGCAGTTGAAACTATAGGAAATATCAGAACTGTGGCTTCACTGGGCAGGGAAACCACCTTCTATAACGATTACAGTCGAGCTTTGATCGGCCCCTACAAGTAAGTGATAACAGAACGAGGCTCAAACAGCAAGAGTATGATTTGGATTAATTCTTCTTGAAACGTGACTCAGAGCATGTAAATTATAATGTTACATCTAACTTGCGAGAAGCCAGGGAAACATGATACATCTGTAGCTCGGGGAAACTTCTGTAATTGCCGGCGTGAGAAAAGAGAACAACGAAATTGTTTTTTATTAGTATTTTTCGTGATTTCTTGCTCCTCACTGAAACGGAGTGAACCATTTTTATATATGATGTCATTGTAATATTTTATATTTATCCGCTTGTGTTTTTGTTTGTTTCTTATCGCCCCTTCACTGACATTTGTAACTTTCTCCTGACTTGTAGAAAGGCAATGAAACGGGCTCACTTACAAGGGGCTTCATTTGGTTTATCAGAGGCGTTCATGTTCTTTGCTAATGCAGTCGCTTTCAGATATGGGGGGTATCTTGTGGTAAAAAGAGAGATGGACATGGATGAAGTTATGAAGTGAGTACCGTTCTTTTACAACTTTGCATGGAATATAAACTGCTGATTTCTATAAATACACAGTGGACACGAGTAGGAAGACTAGTTGTGGTACATCAAATCGAGGCTAGCTGTTAAACTTCCTGTGCAAAGCTAGGAAAAGTCAGTGATTTTATTCTCTATTTGTTGGATTGGTTTTGTTTGGCTTTTGGTTCATTAAGGTCTTGTCGGATAGTTATTTGGTGGTTGTGAGATAGAACTACGTAAAAACAGCAATTTGTGTTTACCAGTAAACCTGGAGTAAGTGTTCAGGTATGGAGTCAGTTTTCCAGAGTCGTCACCAAACTTATCAAGTGTGCGTCATTTGGACGGAATGTTTACATGGTTTTTAGATGTAAACCAGGGTTCGTTTGGGATCGAGTGTATTTAAAGATGGGAACAGCGTGTTTTGAGCCACTGTTACATGAACGAACACCTAATGTTCGTTGTGTTGGTGTTTTTTGTCGGCAGGGTGGTACTGTCTATCTTGATGGGTGGATTTGTGCTGGGTCAAGTTAGTGCCTTGTCTCCAGACTATGAGAAAGCCAAGATAGCTGCTGCTCGCCTCTTTAAACTTTTTGATCGCAAGTCTCTGGTCGACAGTTCATCTCAAGATGGTTTAACACCGGTTAGTTAACTTAGCTATAGAGTTAGGAAACAGACTTAAAAAGAAATAAGAAACTCTTGAAAACTTTAGAAAACTGAAGCTTCTTAACTAACTAAAATGTAGCACCTCTCAGGTGAAAGAAGTGTGTTGGGTGTAGTTTTAAAATCGGATTAGATCATCCTTTCTGTTGATGGAAATTGTGTCAATTAATAGGCTTCGATGTAATATTTTCATTTTTAAGAACTTTTCTTTCCACAACATGAAGATTTTCTCGCCTAATGGGTCTGTATTTAAAAAAAATGTAGAACTAAATGATCGAATATTTTTCAAATAACAACTCGATGTTTTTCATCATCTTCCTACAGAATTCTATGGTGGGAACAATCCAGTTACGCAGCGTACGTTTCCGTTATCCGACGCGACAAAATGTCAAAGTACTACGCGGATTAACACTGTCAATTCAGAAAGGACAAAAACTTGCTCTTGTTGGCTCCAGTGGCTGTGGTAAAAGTACAGTTGTTTCCCTCTTGGAGAGATTTTACGATGCTGAGGACGGAGAAGTGGTAAGTTTCAAGTTCTTCACATATCCTAAAATACAAAGAAAATTATTAGAAACTTTGCTAATAATAAAAAATAATTCGAAAGTTTGGTTTGGCTTACATATGCCTACCATTGTGTAATAGCGTTATACTCTGTGAATCTTAAGATGTTGTACGTGTTCATTATCATTACTGCTGTATTGGTAAAGATGGGTTAGCAAAAATTTTACTTGATATTCCATGGTAACTCTCTACCTAACGATTATAGTTTTCCCGCTGGTGGGATATAGAAATGATTATAGCCAACTCATAACCAACGTGCGTCCGCAGATATATTTGTAGAGTGAATAAAAGGGACGAGTTTCTAAAGAAACTGTGGTGCTGCGTCGGTGGGAGAGTATAAACAGGGTAATGTAGTGTTATCAACTGAGTTGATAACATAAATTGGCCACCATTAAGAGCTCAAACTCTTTACGGTGGCCAATTTACAGTGTCAACTCAGTTGATAACACTAAATTACCCTGTTATTTGTAGAGTGACTGCTTTACGACTAAGGTGAAAAATTTCTTCTTGTGTCTTTCTAAGTTCTAGCATTTGTATTGTACCTCTAATCAATCAGTAAGCCGATGTACGCATTCACAGTACCAAACATTACTTCGACTGCAAACTACAGAAAGAACTATAACATACCGTAACGGTTACGGTATGTTGTAGTTCTTTCTGTAGTTTGCAATCGAAGTAATGTTTGGTATTGTGAATGCGTGCATCGGCGTACTGATTGATTAGAAGTACAATACAAATGCTAGAATCTAGTATCTATGAAGAGCAAATGAAATTAATACACAGTGCAGAGTCACTTTATAACTGATGTTCTTCGTTACAGGCCATCGACGGTAACAACGTCCGAACTCTGAACATTCAGTGGCTGCGCTCTCATATTGGTATTGTGTCACAGGAGCCCATATTGTTTGGCTGCAGTATCGCCGATAATATCGCGTATGGTGACAACTCCCGTCAAGTCAGTCAGGATGAAATAGAGGCAGCGGCTAAATCAGCCAATGTACACAGTTTCATCAATTCTCTTCCCCTGGTATGGAAATTTACCGATTAACTCGCATATAAGAAGCCAAGTCAAACCTGAAAATTGATCTCCCTGTTGATTAAGGTTTAGGTGCGGTTGCCTTTATTGAAAATACTTTTCACATCTTTCAAGTTTACAGTGCCTCTCTTCAGTCACCAGGTGTATAAATGATTACGTGTAGGGGGGAGTTGTGAAGGAGACATGAGAAAATATTATGGGGAAACCTATGATGTATGAGCATTCTATCCATAGGGTGGAGAAATACTCCCAGTCGCCTCGTCCCACAAAATCCGCTTTAAGCTTAAGTAGAGTGAGTCATTTCGCCTGCATGCTGACTGTTTTTTTCTTATGTAGGGTTATAACACTCTGGTGGGAGACAAAGGGACTCTTATCTCAGGAGGACAGAAGCAAAGAATAGCTATTGCCAGGGCGTTGATCCGCAATCCACATATTTTGCTTCTTGACGAGGCTACCTCTGCCCTGGACACAGAGAGTGAGAAGGTCAGGCAGCCGAACATATCATGCGTCTTACAATTCTGAGGTGGTGCTTGGGTGTTAAATACATTTTGATGTTTCATGAGAAAGGGTTTAATCAACTTTTCTGTTTCGGCGTTTTTGCTTTGAGGTCCTTATTTTTTAAGAAGAGATTTCAAGGCGGTTTCGATGTTTGTGAAAGTGATCTTTTTCCCAGTAAACATTCTGAATGTCACTCTCTTATGGCCTCCCGCCATCCCTGATTACATGTTTCTCCCAAAATTAACAGACAAGAAAGAACGCAGGAACATGTTGTCTTCGTCATCGTGTCTAGTTTTTGGCATCACTGATTACTTTTTTAATGCTGGTTTTCGTTCGATACACTTATAGGTTGTGCAGCAAGCTCTGGATGCCGCTAGTGAGGGTCGCACAGCTATCATCATTGCACATCGATTGTCCACTGTGCAGAACGCTGACATCATAGCAGTGATCCATCACGGGCGCGTGGCAGAGCAAGGAACTCATCAAGAGTTGTTGAACCTTAAAGGAGTTTACTACGGTCTTGTTACAGCACAAATGCAGAACACAAATAATTAACTTTTTGAAGTGTGTGCAGTTTGATTTTATTTTCATGAATATCTCCTACATACCATGCGTGCATCTTAATGTAAAGAGAAAATTCTTTTGTTACATTATTTATATGTTAAAATTATTTTTTTTGTGGCTGGTATGGTGACCAGACATTGAATTCTTGTACTATTACCAATGTCTCAAAATTCAAACTGTTTCTAAATACCAATTTTCCTTATTTAATTTTAGTTACCTTCGATATTTATCGTGCATGTGTTTGTTTCTCTGATATGTTGGTGTAAAAATGTTTTGTTGAGTTCAGTTTTGTTTCGAATTTTTTTTTACGATAATCAGGTTTTTAATCAGTAGCTGACTGAGTTTTTCTTCTTTATTTATCATCATAAATATATCTGTAACAAATTTTTAATGTGGCATTCAAGTTACAATTGAAAATTGGACGAACTAGTGTGTAGGAGGGTTTAAGGAAACAACAATATTTTGATTAATTTGGTTGTATGCTCTCCGTCTTGCCATGGTGATGAACGTTCTTGCAACAGAAAGTACAATTTTATGTTTGGAAGCCATTCGCTCGTGAGCATACAGAAACGTTCTTTTCAAAGGTTTTCCAACTAGTTCTGTTAACTTCCTATTATAATAAATGTTGCCTTGAAAAGGAGAACTTCATATTCATATACATTGAGGATGAATACTGTGTAACCACACAATGTAACTCAATTTTTATTAACCAATTGTAACTCTGTCAGCATTAACATATACTATAGTGAAACTAGACATTGTTGTCTTATTGTAACCGTATTTACATATTTTAAAATGAAACGGAACGTTGTATTATTTTAACCACATGTAGAGCCCTCCTTTGCATAGATTGCTTGTCTAAGAGGGTAGTACATGGTGATGAGAACATGTGAATTCTATTTTAGGGTGATATAAACAGCATTTTATGAACGAGAGATCGTAGAATATTGTCTGAAACTTGAAAAAGTTAATTTCATATGTGAGGCCACCGTGTTTTCATAAGATCAGTTGTGTCTAGATGATAGGGACAGTTTTTATTTTTATTTCTCAAGCATCTTAGCGGTCCAGAATCCTAAATCTTTGAATCTGAGTAGCTTATTCTGCGCGCTTTGACGGTTCGGAATTTTCTCATCCGAACCCGAGGTACTGACCACTTCGAGTTTTGCAATTTGCACTTTTCAAGCGCTTCAGGAGAGAAGCTTTAAGATGTAAAGATTGTAACAAGTGACTTGCAGTTATGGATTCAGACAACGAAAGCTATCAAAGCGAAAGCAAATTTTATTATCCCAAAGAGAAAAGCATGCTTCAAGATAGAGAAACGGCTATCGAGAAACACAAACTGCACTGCGGAAGAAATGTCAACATTTTAAGTGTTTAACGAAGCCCGACGGCCTAAATTTACTACCAAAAAAAATTGTTGTGACAGAAACTGTAGACATTGAATAATTAAAAGCTTTATTAAATCTGCTTGTGTCAAGAGAAAATATCCCATTTGACTTCAGTTTTCGGTGGAAGAGACACAAGATTTGTACATGCCATAGTAGCAAAAAAACTCTCACAACTTAAAAAAATTAATTCGTATTTACTTACCGTGACTTACTTCGCCAATGAAAACAAACAGAGGTCAATCTTCGTGGATTAATCGTGAATGGAAGAAACCAATACAGAAGATCGTCGTGATAATCATTTAGCTCGAGTTTGTTTGCCAAACCAGACCTGTTCTTCATTTTAAAGTTTCATGCGCTTTTTTTCCTTCACGCTCTTTAATTGACTGGTGTCAGATCGTTACAGATATATTTTAAAAAATTATCATAAAATTTAGTTTAGTTGGTGCGACTGGTATTCTGTTTGTGTCCTTTCAAGGTCAAACCTTTTTCGAACGCCTTATTTGGTTTAAGTAAACCAATCTGTGTGCTTTTCATGATGCACGACCCAATTTGTAAGCTATGATGGCAAACTTCCACGATTGACCATCTTATTAATGACTCCTAGCCTCGTTTTGTTTATTTTACTCAGCTGGACCTGCTTTACAACATTTTCTTCGATGTGCCTTGCTCGGAAAAGCTTGTGTTGAAAATAACTTTCGATTCTGTGAAATTTCCCTAGGAAAGAAGTCTTTATAATGCTACCCATGTCACTGTCTACAACTACCTACGTCTTTGTCACTCCCTCTTGCTGTAACTGTCTACCATTGTTACGTTCACTTTTGTCAGTGTCTCTTCATCCATCTCTGATACGGTCTTTTTGTCTCTAAATGTTCCTTTGTCACTGTCACCGACCCTATCACTGTCAGTGTCAGGCACTGTTTCAACGGCTGCCACTGTCTTTGTTTTAAGTCTATCAAGGTCACTTTCTTTGCCACTCTTTCACTATCTCTGGCATTGTCATTGTTACTATTTATGACACTATCACCCCCTCACTATAATTGTCACTTCAGTTCTCACTCTCTGTCACTTTCTGCATCACTCTCTTAATGTCACTGTATTTGTCAGTCACTGTCACTGCCTCTGATTGTCTCTGTATTTTTCTCTTTCTCTGTCACTGTTCCCGACACTTTCCATTTCTATCACTGTCACTGTCACAGGCACTGACTCTGCCACTATCACCATATCTCTCTGTTACCGACAGTCACCATCATTGTCACTTTCTTTGTCACTGTCACTATACCTGGCACTAGCACTGTCTCTGTTACTGGCACTGGCACTGTCTCCGTTACTGTCACTGTCAAAGTCTGTGTCACTATCATCAGCTCTAGCACTCATCCTCTTTGTCAATGTCACTCTCTCCGCTTGTTTTTCCCTATCTCTGTCACTGTCTCTCTCTCAGTATCGTCGCTGTAAAGGTCACTGCCTCTTTCAGTGTCACTCTTTGTCACTCAATTTGACTCACTGTCTCTTGTCAGTGTAACTGTACTTATGACTGTCTCTGTCGGTGTCACTGCCACTGCTTTCATTGTCACTGTTATATCAACTGTCTCAGTCAATGTCAGTCCCTCTTTTTTATTGTCTAGATCACCATCTCTGTCAGTAGGACGGTCTCTATCAAGCTCACTGTCTCAATTTTACTGCATTTGTCACTCTCACTGTTTCTGTCAATCTCACTGTCACTATCACTGTCTCCATCAGCATCATTGTTTCACTCACTTTTTCTCTCACTCTCACTCTAACGGTCAATGTCTGTGTTGCTGTCATTGTCTCTGTCGATGTCATTGTCTCTGTCGATGTCATTGTCTCCACCAGCGGTACTGTGTCTGTTACTATCACTGTCTCTGTCACTGTCGGTATCAGCATCACTTTGATATCATTATCCTTGTCACTGTCTTTGTCACTGTCACTGTTGCCGATGTCACTTTTTCTTTCTAAGTCATTGTCCTTGGCACTCTCACTATCACTGTCCATCTCTCACCGTCAGTCACATTCTTCGTAACTTTCTTTCTTAATGTCATTGTTTCTGTTTCTGTCTTTCTCTCTGTCACGGTCCGGTCTCTTACTGTCACTATCTTTGTCTTTGAAACTTTCTCTGACACTATCACTATCACTATCTCATGACACTATCTGACAGTGTGTAAGAGTTGCTACCATTGTCACTGTCTCTTTCACTGTCACCAACACTGTCTGTCGCCGTCTCCCATTGTCATGTCAGTGTCACTGTTGTTTCTCTGTAACCGTCTTTCTAACAGTCACTGGTACAGCCTCATTCTCTATTGCATTCTCTCTGACTGTCACCGTCAGTGTCACTTTCTTCTCACTGTCTTTGCCCTTATCCTTGTCCTTGTCAATGAAACTGACGCTGACACTCTCCCTGTCTCTGTCTCAATTATAGTCACTTTCAAGATCTTTGTCACTGCCACTATCAATTTCTAAAGTTATTCCATATCATGAGTCAAGTTCGAGTCCAATTCAAGTTTGAGTCACGAGTCAAGTTCGAGTGAATTTTAATTGTTTCCTTTTTTTGCCTTTATTTATTTATTTATTTTGCTCTTCTTTCTGTTTTGTGTCAAAATGATGTATCTGGGATACAAGAACACCTAGTTTGAAGCTAAAATTAACCTGATAGCGACTATAAAATAAACATGGTGGGCCTACTTGTCGCCACCGTTAACTGGCATAAATCACTACAATTTGTAAAAAAATCTAAGATAACACTCTTACCTTGTTTATTTATGATTTTATTAGCCGTTTCGATTGTATCTATATTTACGCCTGGGTATTACTTTTTGACAGGAGCCCAGGTTTTGCGTTGTGTTTTCCCCTCCCCCATTTACATCATAAGCGAGTCACGCAATAATTGATACCGACACAAATGAATATTTACCATGTATAAATATTATTGTCTATTTTGAATTGAAAATATTAGAATATATGCTTTTTTGGTCACTAATCGTTGTTTCAGTGGCAGCGAAGCATTTAAAAGCGGGTTGTTGCTTCAACGCTTGTATTCAGACAGGCGAGCAAAGCGTGATGCTCCGGGAATAAAAACTTTTATGGGCCTTTTACATGACATCCGAATGAGTTTTGTTCAAGAACGAGCTCATACCGGTTGCCACATGATACCAGAGTAAAATTAAAATTAATCTGAAACGAGTCATTTCTGAGTGAGTTTATTGGGGTTTTCCTGGTACCTTTTACGATGTCTCAAACTTTAGTGGACTACCAAAGACCTAGCTGGTACGTTTTAGGGTGTTTTTCACCAGGGGCCCATCTCCTGTTTTCGCCCAATAAAACACCTGAGATAAGCATTCCTAGGACGATTTTAATGATCTGACTCAAGCACATCGATAAAGCAGTTTTTATTTTTGGGATTTTTCAGTTTTTATCTTTGAATTTGTACTTTTTAGGGGTAGACATCAATTGCTGCCACTCCCACACGGATAAGACTTAAGTATCTTTTATGCTTTTATAGCGGTCGTTTTCGAAATTCCAGTCGCGCATCCCCGCCCTCTTATGTAAAGGCACACTTGAAATTTAGTAAGGACAAATTTTGATGTGATTTTTGGCGAAGAGAAACAAGTTTTGTTAGCGACTATTAGCTAATGCGGAAGGGCCCTTTGCCAAAATAAATTTTTACAAAAAAGACTACACCAAAATTATTAGAACATATTGGGCTACAAAATATGACGGTAGGAGTGAAAGCAAATTTTGGGTGACTTGCCGCTGTTTGTCTGATGCATGCTGACATTAGCTCTTAAATGTTCTAAACGGAATGACAGGATCGAGATATAGAAAATGGAATAGCATGATGATTAATGCAACGTGTCGTCTACACATTTACTAGCCTATGCAAACAAGAATCAGCTCAAAGAATTTGTCCTGTTACAAACGCTCATTATCATAGGAATGAGGCGTCTGAGGGGATAGTTACGTAACATGCTCTCGACTAGAGTAGAAAATTGTAGATGACGGAAAAGAGAAATATGAAGTCTCATTAAAGAAACAGGGAAGGAAGAAGCCTTTGAATTAATAGCGAAAAAGGAAAGAGTAAACAAAAGTAGGAAAGAGAGAGAGAAAAAAATAGGCATCGCGACTCTTTGCATTCGTAGCCTCAGGTGCTGCGCATGTCATGTGATAGAAAGCTGATCAGTAATTAGTAGCCGAGAAATGTAAAAAAACGTTGAACAACATGAACATGCGTTTGGCAAAAGTCATGTGATGTTTACCTGTGCAATAAAAGTTGTGGAGGCGTGATATGGACCTTCGCGAAATTAATTGAGACATGCGAGACAAGTTGGGGGCGTGAAAGAAATTAACCGCGACGAATATGGTAGAGTGTCGCATAAACTGTCAGACTGAATCGAAAATATCGGTTGCAGATAAAATGGGGAGGAAGAAAATGAAACCCTACAATGAAAAAAATTTCCTTCCGCGAACGTTATGGAATAAGTCAAATTAACTTAACTTTTTTTATGAAAACGCGATGGAAAGGTCAGTTAAAAAAGAAGCCAAAAGGTTAAGTTATATCATATGCAGCTTGAACATAGGTTTTAATTACTTTATACACCAGGAGACGTTATATTCGTCATATATAATATAATAAATATATGTTATTTGCCGGCTGGGAGGTCCGTATGGTGAAAAACTGTGACCGAGGTCTTGAAAATACTGCCCGAGGCCGTAGGCCGAGGGCAGCATTTTCAAGACCGAGGTCACAGTTTTTCACCATACGGACCGACCCTTAGCCGGTAAATAACATATTTATTGTTTTTAAACTTGACGAAATTCTTTCCGAAAGAACCCGAATGATTTAGGGCTGTAAATACGGCAAGATCTTCCATAAACTGAA